TTTTTTTTTTTTTTTTGCGGAACCGGGGATTGAACTCAGGCCCTTGCACTTGCCAGCGAAGCACTTATCCTACTAAGCTATCTCCTCGGCCCTAAGACTTGGTTTCTTAATTTCTTTTTCTTTTTGTATTTTATTTTTGTTTTGGTCGTGATCCTAATGACTCCTGCAATGATAAACCTCAGCTTGAAGAGGTTATCCAACTCGGCTTGTGTTCTGGGAACTGGGAGCAAGGAAGGTGGAGGGTGATATGTCTGATTGAGAGCCCTGGGCTTGAGGCCCTGGCTCTTGACAGTGCAGTGCCTTCCAAAGATGCTTTTCTCCCCAATTTAGAAGTTGCCTTCAGAATCTTAGGTGACGCTGGTCTGTTTGGCTGACACTCAGAGATGAGTTGGGATTGGTTTATGGTCAAGTCATAGGATGCCAAAGACAAATGACTATCTCTACTGTGGGGTGATCAGGTAATGGGGTTTCAGCCTTGGCAATCCCCAGTGAGTCTGGCAACCTCTTACAGCCCTATGTTCCTCATTTTGCTTGTCTGAAATATGGGAGAAAAATAGTTGGGCACTGTAAAAATCATCAGGTGAAATACTTTGAAAAGTCAGTATAAGGGGAAAAAGGAATTATTTTTTATTAAGTCTTTGAAACTGTAATAGTATTCTGTCTCAGAGCTTACTGAGTCTTTAGCTATGAAAGAACTAACTATGCTGTTTACAGCAAAGATCTGATAGCTTTTCTTCATAAAAAAAGTCTTTTCTGCTAGAGCTAAGAATGAGCACAGGGCTAAAATCACAGTATGTTAAGGTACTCCTTCAGGAAGTTTCTCTCCTAACATGCCACTGACACTCTTCATTCCAGTGGGCTGTGTAGCCTAAAGGTTGTAGTTCTGGTTGTACAGTCAAACTAGAATTAGGTCTGACTTCTGCCACTTTCTGGCTGAATCTGGGCATGTTTGGTTAATGGGCCAGAAGAGTTTACAATATTGTGTCTTGGAACACGGCAAACTGTGGCAAAATAAGGAAATGAGGAGAGATGAGAAAGGAGAGATAGGAAGGAGCCATTGGCAGCATGGACAGAGAGGAGAACTGATGAGTGACAATGAGGAAACTGGCATAATCAGGACACAGAGATGGGAAAGGAGCAGCCATGTCACAAAATTAAAGAGACTGTTTCAGGTTGTGGAGCTTTGCCTCGAAGGTAGTAGGACCTCTAAAGGGCCTCACCCAGGAAAATGGTGTGGTTGGAGTAACCACCATCTTGCAGTTGGGTTTGAAAGGACATGAGCAGAAGCCAGAAATAGATGTAAAATCTTTTGCAACAGATGCTGATGGTTGGACCCAGGTCATTGGCACTGAGCGGGGAGAAAGGAAAGAGCTGCAGAAGTTTCTGAGAGAGGAGATCAGAGGGATTAAGTGCTGAGGAGTGGGACTTGCCAGGAAGCTGTGTAGCTAAGTGTGTTTAGCTAATGTGTACTCAACCATTGTTAATCGGGTCAAAGAAAAAGAATTTAAGAGGGGTTCCCTGGGGAGGACCAGCCCTAGTCCAACTTTGGCATCCCGTCAAAATCAAGTGTTATGCATGAAATGCCGCACATTTCCCCATGATTTTCAAGGGTTATTTTGATTATGGCCATTCATTACCCTAAATGTGGACTTCTGAGGCCTGGACCTGCATGGGAGTTTACCATCTTTCCTGTCATGAGCTCCTACCCAGGGCTTCTCCTATTTTTTTGTCTTCTGCTTAGCATGGCTTTGACCTATAAGACACAATATGGCCTCTTATCGGCTGTCCCTAAAGTGGCTACCAAAGGCCTGACAAAAGAAGAGGTAAGCAAGGGGATGAGAGAAAACATAAGTATTTCAACCTGTGCTTGTTGATGTACCTAAATAACTCAAGTGTGGCCTGACTTTAAAACAAATGAACAGGGGCCGGGGAGATGGCTCAGTGTAATAAGCGCTTCACTGGCAAGCACAAAGGCCTGAGTTCAATCCCCAGTTCCACAAAAATAAATAAATAAATAAATAAATAAATAAATAAATAAATAAATAAAAACAAATGAACACATCACTGCCCCCCATTTGTCAAATGAGGTTGTCAAAGATTATCTAAGGCCATGGAAGTCTATGATTCTAAGTATGCCCTTTACTTGTGTATGGCAGATACTTTATATAAAACAAATTCAGATGAATCTTATTAAATTGAACTATTCATGACCTATTTATCTTTTTATATTAACATGTTTTTGCCCTGATGAGTTTTACATGAATAAAGCAGCATATTCTGTCAGTGTAATGTAATTTTTAATTATTCATTTCTCTCTCTCACTTGCCATTGTGGGTAAAGAGTATTTTAAAGGCTCTCACGTCCAGCTAGGACTACAATTTGATCTGGGCATTGCATCACTGGGGTGCAGGCACCACTGGGCTGGGTCAGGCAGTCGTGATCGGCAGGCCATGCGGGGCTGAAGCTCTGTGCAGCATCTGACACCTTATCTCCTTCCTCCCATAGCTTGTGCAGAGGACTTTTTCTATACATCACAGGGAGGAGACACGTCCATTGAGGGTGTCGATGATGCAGAGGATTTTGAGAAGACGCGACAGGCCTTCACCCTCCTTGGTAAGGAGCTTCTGAATGAGGGGAACAGGCCCAGCAGTCTGATCCTATGGAGGGGAGGAAGAAGGATGATGCCTCACATAGCTTGCCAGCCTGCATGAACCTACAGGGGACACCTCATGCCCTTCATGAACCTCCTCCTGTTCTTAACTACCTCAAGCTCCAAAACTTAAAATCTAAAGCTTCTTGACCTTTATTAAAAATGAAGGCATGGTGGAGTTTTCCTTTTCTCTTTCTTGGCCATTAGGACCCTGTCTTTTGTGCTGTGGTCTGTCTCCAAGGCATTGAGCTTAGCGGGAAGACTTGGCCCTGTGGCATGGCTACCATGCACCAAACTGGAAGCGCAGCATGAACGGTAGTAGCTCTATCACACATGCAACCTGATCATGTTAGTGTTTCCTTGTAGAGCTTAGAAGGGCACGAAGTTCTCTCTGCCAGAATGAGGTAACAGTAAAGCTGAAGGTATCTGCCTGTCTTCTCTGCCAAATTTTCTGGGGAGGACCCCCTCAGTTAGCAAGGGGGAAGGGAAAGCCTTTCTCAATTGGAAGATGGAAGGGTTTAGTTCTGGGACCTGCAACCAAGAAAAAAGAAAGAAAGCTTGAAAAGCCAGAGTGACTCAGGATGACTCCTGTGTGTTTCTGGCTCCCTCCCAGACAGTGGTAGAGAACTGCCTTCTGAGCACTAGCTGACTTGGGACAGCAGTTAGGTTTGTAGTGGGCATTGGTGAGATTGTATCCAGTGGCTGTGTAGGGCAGGCATGCCCTTGTCTCTGTATGGGGAGGAGGAGCTCAGCCCTTCCTGTGCTAAAAGCCTGAATGGGTCTTTTCCAGTGGAGAAATAGGGTTTTTATGTACACATGAACTGTCAGGAGGTAGAAACCACACTGCCATTTCAATTAACATAAATAATTATGGACTCAAGTAGCTCTGTGTGATAAACTATGAAAAGAGAGATGGAGGTAGGAGGATCTCGATTTCAAGCTCAGCCTGGGCTACTCAGCGATTTGGACACTCTGACTCCAAGTTTTAAGGGAGCTGGAAGTGTAGCTCAGTGCAATGGCTATGGATTCAATCCATAGTACCACACACATATACACGAAGGACTTTCAGGGTTCAAAAGTAGTGCAAAGGAAGCTGCTGTCATCAGGGCAAGGAGCAGCCAGTACAGGAAGTATTGAGTGAAAGAGTCCTCCGTCCTTGGCTGCACTGTAGACTGTGTCTAAGCTGACGAAATGTGCCAGAGAGTAGAGGCCAGCACTGATGCATACAGGCAGGCTGCCCTCACCCCAGGGTACAGCAGGGCTAGAATGACTGAAGAGTGGCAGCTGGTGGGGCGAAGCCAGTGGTGGGCACTGCAAGAACTCAAGGAGGTGGCTGGGCCCCATGATAAATGATCGTAACTAGAGAGGCTGGAGCCAGGAAGGAACATGCCTCCCTGCCCTTTTCTTGTACATTACTGTGGTGTCCTCAGTTGAGGAAGCCTGATGATCCATCCACAGGCACAGGAGAAGGGTGTGGGCCCAGCCTGAGGACCACCAAGCAGGACAAGAAGGGAAAGGTGTGGCAGCGAGAGGAGATGTGGGTGCCCAACTTCTCCAGCGTCATCCTGTACCTGCCTTATTCTCTGGAGTTAGGGATCTGGAGGATGCTTGAGTACATTTTGCCAGCTTGCCAGAGATAGGAGATGGCTTCTGGCCGCCACTCTGATAGTGCTGGAGCAAGCAGTGGGCGGAAGGTGGATGAGTCCCTCCGAGGCTCAGAGATGGAGACTTTAATTCTCAAGGCACATCACATTTATAAAATTAAGTACTTTAATAAGATGTCTTCCCTGCTCCTTATTAAAAAAAAAAAATGTGCATTTTTCTCAAATTCCAGGGCTGTCAAATGGTTCTTAAAAGACAAGGCAGTAGGCATTTTAGGCTTTGTGAGACATTTGCCACAGGATTTCTGTGCACCCACTCAGCTCTGCCGTGGTAGCACAGATGTGGCCACAGACAAAGCATGAGGCAGTGACATGGCTGTGTCCTGGTAAAAGTTTACTTCTGTGCTTGGGAGGCTGCACCTAGAACATCACAAGTTCAAGGCTTCGTTGTACTACACTGTGAGTTCAAGGTTCGCCTGGTCTGCACACGGAGACCCTGTCTCAGCAACAGCAAAAACTTACAAAAATGTAATTGGGCCATAGATTGCGGACTCCCGTTTCACTCCTTAGATTTTATTCCTTGACTTCTGTTTAGTTTTTGCTTTCCCCTAATAAGATACTGTTCAGGGAATCTCATGATAAGGAACTTTTTAAACGATGTTCATTTTATTTTGTTTATACTTTAGTTGTTCACTTTGCAGATTATCTAGGGAAATTTTTCTTTCCAAGATCACACATCTGGGTATTTTTATATAAAGGAATATTACTCAGCTACAAAAGAAAGATAAACTTGAGGCTTTTATAGGCAGATGGATGAACTAGGACCACACCGGTAAGTGAAATAAATCAGACCTGCATGTGTATTGCACTGTCTCCCTAGTACAAGAACCTGGAAGAGTAAATAGGATCTGAAAGGTACAAGGGATACTGTGGAAGGAGAAGAAACTGTTCAAAGGGAAAGAGTAACCAGGATAAGAGAAAGGAGTAAAGAAAGAAGAAAGAGATATATGTGTGTATACACAGGATAGCTTAGCTAGTTGGACTGCTGATTTCTGTTGTTAAAAGGGACAGTGATTGCATTTTTTCTCTATCCTTAATTTTTTATAATTTTTGACCAATGTTACATGCTTATATGTGGTAGTCTGAGCAACTAATTTGGAGACAACAGTATACATTACAACAACCATTGTTGAATTCCTATCATGTTGGTTTTTTAAAACATTTTTATTCATATTTTTATTTTATTTTGAAGAAATGCAGAATCAGGGTAACATATAACAATACATATATTACATATTTTCAAAATGAGAATAGCTAATTAGCAATGAATGATATGTTATCTATTTTATTGTCAAATCTGTTGCTCAGATTATCAGATATAGTTATGCAAGATGGGACATGATTGACTATTAATGTATACTTTTGAGAAATCTTAAATTTTGTTCTTGTCTCTTTCTTTCATTACCTTTTTCTGAAAATGTTTCTTTAAAGAGAGTATAGTAATAATTGATATAACATTAGAAACGGTATGCATTTAGAAGACCAAGATGACAGGTATTCCAAGCATAGTTTTTGTATTACACATTGCTGTCCTCAATGTAATTGCTTAGACCACAGTTATCTGCATACAGAGTTAATCAAGGTGAGAATTCCGCACTTTAACTGCTATTTTCATAAAACTGATTGAAATTCTTAGTACAATCACCTCATCCATCTCGTATATTTGCTTGCATGCTTTTGCCTACCATTTTCCTATCTTTTCTCCTTTCTCTCCTCTTCCTTGTTTAATCCTTAAGTTCCCTTTCTTTCCCTTTAACTGTATCTATTATATCTTTCAGGTTTTATTTCTTCTATCATTTTGTTTAGTGAAATTCTGTTATTGTTTCTGATAGTTTTGGGTTTTTTTTTGGTGGAACCAAGGATTGAACTCAGGCCCTTGCGCTTGCCAGGCAAGTGCTTACTCCACTGAGCCATCTCCCCGTCCCCCAGGGATTTTTATTTTTACTGGTTTTTCTAAATTCTTTTATTAAAAAGTAAAATGGCAACACATCTGTGCCTCCCATTTACACAGGTATTACTTTTTTTTTTTAGCTTGTGTAAAATATTACCAACACATTGCTAGGAGGAATAGGGGGTTACAACTGTATCATTTCTTAAACTGAGCAGTAGATTTACTAATGTTCTTTATATCATTCTGTAGCTTTTGTTGTCATTATTTTACAAGTCCAACATATCTTTTAATTTAAAAGGAAATATTAATATTGTTAAACTAAACATAAATTTACAGATTTTATATGTTTTTAAAAATTCACACAGGAGCCTTTTTTTCAGCCAGAACTGCTATCTTCCAGACTGTTACTGGTTTGCACCTTGAGCATTGTGTTGAAAAATTCGTTTTAGTAATTTGCCAAAATGACTAACACAAAGGGCAAGAGGAGGGGAACCTGATATATGTTTTCCAGGCCTTTTAGAAAACATGGGGTTGTTTCTTTAGCCACATACATGCAAATCTACAAAAAGGATGATATTGTAGACATCAAGGGAATGGGTACTGTGCAAAAGGAATGCCTCACAAATATTACCATGGCAAAACAGGAAGAGTCTACAACATTACCCAGCATGCTGTTGGCATTGTTGTAAACAAGCAAGTTAAAGGCAAGATACTTGCCAAGAGGATTAATGTGTATATTGAGCATATTAAACACTCAAAAAGTCATGATAGCTTCCTGAAACGTGTCAAGGAAAATGATCAGAAAGAGAAGGAAGCCAAAGAGAAAGGTACCTGGGTTTAACTGAAGTAATAGCCTGCCCCTCCCAGAGAAGCACACTTTGTGAGGACCAATGGGAAGGAACCGAGTTGTTGGAACCCATTCCCTATGACTTAATGACATAAATTGGGGACGTTGCTCTGCCATTCAGTACCTAATTGGCAGCTTAAGTGTTCTAGGTCCTATGTAAAAATAAAATCATCCTGGGCTGATGAGATGGCTCAGTGGTCTAAAGCACCTACTTAGAACAAGCTTAGCAAAGCACAGTGACCACGGTTCAATCCCCCGGCACCACATGCCAGCCAGCCCCGGCCTCTGGTGGGCTGAGCTGGCCACACACACACACACACACACACACACACAAATAAATAAAATTTTAAAAAAAAATCATCCTGTGTTGTAAGGGTGATTTTCTTAGTTGAACAGGTATCTGGTGCCCTCTTACCTAAGAAATCTTTGCAGCAGATTTTCACTGTTCACTGTACCTAGTAATTGTGTCTAG